CATGTACTGTTGTGTTTCTTCTCATTTCTTCCCAACTGGAGGTGTAGTGACTAAACTTTTAGGTTTAGAATCTTCTACTCACCCACGTTTATTAAGTAAGTTATTATAAAGCACACAGTTTCGGTTCCGACACGGCTGTTAATGAGTTAATGATCAGTTGAACCTTTGTGTTTTGATTTTAGTTTATTCTGTGTAAAGTATACACAAGTGGATGATTTCATATTAAGAAAACAAAAACAAAGTGGGAAGTGTAATTACAACAGTTTGGCTTTATGTACAGTATGTAAAAACGATATGAAATAATCTTAAATTCTACATATAATGTAGATACTGTACCTGAACAGCGGTAGGTAGAAGTTTACGTTTCTCGGGCTGTACTTCTTTTTCACAAAAAGGAGAATCTTACTGGATACATTCAGCTTGGGTTTCCTGCCTTGATTTTTAAAAAAGAAAATTAAGACAAGGCTTCATTAGAACATAAGGAGACAACTCAATCTCTGAGAGGAGCATTTCCTATATTTATGCAGTTTGTTGTTTTGAACAAACTTGTGGAATTATGTATTGATGTGCTTTTTTCGTTCGTCTGTGCAGTTGTTCCACACGCTGTAATGCTGTGATATTTTACATTAGTCCTTACTACCGGCTTCCTAAACATAAGGATTCCTCTCTCAGGTCATGTCTGAGAGACATTTTCTCCCCTAACCGTCATCACCTTCACCCATGTAGTAACCTGCTTGAACCCTCTGCGTCCCTATCCCATGGTTTGTCATTGGACACCCAGTTGACTACAGCTGCAGCTAGTGACTAATGTTGTTTTTTAGCTTTTTTCTCACCCAGACAACAATGACATTACTTCTGCTCTATCTCACTGCCATTGTTTGTACACTAGAACCTTTTTCTATAGCATTAGTCACCATTACTGCAGTTTGCAGGAGCCAGAAAAACAGATACTGAAAGCCTGACTGCTCCTTAAGTGCTGTCTCAGTTCTCTAAGTAAAGGTCAGTCTTTGTGCTCCAAACAGTTGTGTGACTTTCACAAAGTTGTTATACTGAGGTTTTTCAGTTGCGCAACCACATGTCGTTAACGTGTTCACTATTTTGGATGTGTGACAATCATGGTGACAATGCAGACTCCAGTCATGATGAGAAAAAAGGGTATTCCCTGATCTGTTGCTGGGGGTTGGTGGTAGTATCTGATTAAGTAATTACTAAAGCCCCAGTCACACATACCAAGAGATTGATCATTGAGGCCTTGCAAGCAACGGTCGGATTCTCTCTGAGCTGTAGTAAAACTGAAAAAAAGTCCAATCCAAATTGCCTCCAGAGCCACAGCTTTTACTTTGAAATCCAATCGTCTCCGTTTCCCTTTGCGTCATACTTTTACTACTGCTTTGCTAGTAGTTTGCAGACAAATATGAAAACGTCAGGCAGCTATGGCAGTCTGCTAGCAACCAAAGCAATCACTAGGAGGTTTTTGGTGCAGCACCTTCTTTGCATCCAATTTAGCAAACATAGCTTGTAATCACATCCAATGAGGTGGATAAATCTCTTAAAATGTGAACATGACATCAAATGAGAAACCTCAATACAGAAGAATTTAAATAAAGGGACCTCTGTTTTCTAGTAGTTGTTTGCTAGTTGACGTCTAAGCTCGGTGAAAACACTAATCTTAATTCTAGGCAACGAGAATGTGCTTTTTTTTCTCATTAAATTTTTCACCAAATCTTGGTAATCAGCAATGATTAAAATAACCATTTAAATAGGGCTGGGCGATATGGCCTAAAATTCATATCGCGATATAATTTGAAGCATGTGCGGTAACGATATATATCGCGATATATTCTTTTCTTCTGTATAACGTATTTTCCACACTATAAGGCACACTTAAAATCCTTTCATTTTCTTAAAAATCGAAAGTGTGCCTTATGTATGAATTCTGGTTGTGCTTACTGACCTCGAACCGATTTGGGCGTGCAGAAATCTGTTAAAAAATGTTTTAGTACAACTTTGGTAAGCCGCACTGCTTGATGGATTGTCAGAGCATTACGGCTGCCGTAGTGAGGAGCTTCACGGAGTAATCTGGGTCCAAAACTCCGTCCGCTTCACCCCCAAAGTCAAACGAATACTGAGAGTTAAAAACGGTCTAAATTCTTCCATCTTTAATTAAATCATCAGCGTTGTTGCTTTACCAGGTGTAACAATTAAGTTTAACATCCAGGCATCCATGAAAACAGAATTTATTACATTTAACGGAGTTAGAAGTTAACAGGAAGTTAGCTTGTTAGCTCACTAGATTCCACCTAAACGTGTTGTGCTACGTGATTGCTAGCGACACAGCTATGTTAGCATAACATTAGCACAGTGAAGCTGGAGGATGAACGCCAACTTTTTTCCACTAGATAAAAGTTAACATGAGGGATTCTGGTGGTCAGGGACAAATGCAATCGCATAGCAGGATGCTATACACGGGCCAAACTTCAGTCAGGAGAACAACTGAGATTATTCATCCACAATACGAGGTTAGTTATTAATATACTGCAACAACATGGGAATAAAACAGCTGCGAGAGAATTCAGCATTAATGAATCAATGTTACGGACATGGAGGAAGCGCAGTTTTTGGCTTTCCCCATATTTCAAAAGTGCTTCATCTCTTTGCTGTGACTGTCGCCGGGCATAATTTGCAGATGATAATGGTTTTAGCCGCTGTGATGCTTTCAACCAAAACAGGCGCAGCTTGATGACATCATCAACATGCGCTATCGCGATAGAGCGATATAGTCAAAATCTCTATCGTTGGCCAAATTTATATCGTTTCTATCGTATATCGTTTATATCGCCCACCCCTACATTCAAACTGTCACACATCAAAAACTATTTACATTTTTTTCCTCCAAAAATCTGTTTACCCCACTCTGGAACAAGGCAAAAGTTAACATCAGTGTTAGTAAACACGATCACTTTGACTGCAGAGGGTTAAACCCCCTCACGTTTACTGTATAAGTTGATTGTCTTGGCTTAACTTGCTTTTTTTCCTTCCACATTCCAGACTATCTTTGCAGACCTGAAGATAATATCTACAACATTGACTTCACACGTTTCAAAATCAGAGATCTTGAGACAGGAACAGTGCTCTTTGAAATCGCCAAACCTCCTAACAGCGGTGAGTGATACACTCAAAATTTGCCTGCATGTTACCAAGCTTAAAATTCTTTAAAAATATAGAACACACCTGAATGAATAACAGAAATGATCATACATCCATGCAAACATGTTAAAGCTGTTTAGTTATCGTGCATTTAAAAAGATGAATTGTCACCAAGCACGAGAGCTGCAGCCCAGCTGTGTGCTGGTATCCTTACTTTTATCTCAAATGTAAATCTATCAAAACACATGAAGTCTAAAAAGAAGGACCCACGATTAAGCACTATTGCTTCCCCTTTTCACTAGTAACGCACCGTCTGCATGTATTTAGATTTTTGTTTGTTTCTTTAACGTGCCGATTTGATTTGACGCCACCATCTCAAACTGTGCTCATTCAGTTGTATCAGAGCCTTTTGATGGATGATCATAACTTGAAAAGAGACACCCTATGTATATTTCACGCACTACAGTAAAGCATGTATGCCAGTCAGCTGAATTAGTCTTCTGTGTCAGGACCCGTGGAGAGTGAAGAGGAGGGTGGCGATCCAGACACGAGTGCGGGGCGTTTTGTCAGATACCAGTTTACACCAGCCTTCCTAAAACTCCGCACGGTTGGTGCGACGTGAGTAAATGAACTACAACGGTGTGACTGCATCACGATCAGCCTCGGGTGTCTTTTCAGTTTCTTAATTTGTCTCTTTCCCCCTCTCTGCAGAGTGGAGTTCACAGTGGGTGACCGCCCCATTAACAGCTTCCGTATGATTGAGCGGCATTACTTCCAGGGACGCCTTCTGAAGAATTTCGACTTTGACTTCGGTTTTTGCATTCCTAACAGCTGCAACACATGCGAACACATTTACGAGTTCCCGCAGCTTCCTGACGACCTCAGTAAGTTCTGCTCCTTTTTGTTCATATTACCAGATCTGTGTATCTTTATTTCTTAATTGATGGCGTGCCCTTCTCCTTTTCCAGTTCGTCAAATGGTGGCACACCCTTATGAGACCAGATCAGACAGTTTCTACTTTGTGGATAATAAACTCATCATGCACAACAAAGCAGACTATGCCTACAATGGTGGTCTGTAATACCTGAAGGGGGGGCGTGTTTAAAAAGGATGCAGTAGCTCCCAGGAGACCGATTTTCTGGATTGTGCCCCTCAATAAAGGGGGCAGAGACAGAAGTATTCACTCTTTATCGGAATAAAGCACCATAGTTTAAAAAAAGGAACAGAAGCAGGAAAAACCCCAACCATATCTGCCTTCATAGGAAATCATGGATCGATTCATCAGTACCGAACAGAGCTCAGTTTCTGGGACTCCGAGAGAATGTTTAATTCAGTATTTCGCTGTTATATCTGACTGAAACCTTTCTGTTCTCCTTTTGGATTGTCATACATGTGTAATGTAACTGCTTGAACACTTTTGCCTTAATTTCCTGCTGTCTCTGCTGGAAAGGGACAGTTTTGAGTAACGCATCTATAGTGGCAACGTCTGTAGACTACGTTAGTTTTTCATTTAATTACTGATGTAATAAGTTTGTTTATTTTTGAGCTGAACTACCTTTTGCAAGTGACAATTGTGTTTCCTTTATGGAAAAACGAGCATTATGTAGGTGTTTCGGTCTTGTTTTATTAATAGATGTAGCATTAGCGTTTGTTTGAGTTTGATTCTTCCTCAGATGTGAGTTGAGAGCAGTCGCTACTGTTTGTCAGATATTTAAGCTTGGTGTCCGTTTTATGAAGTACAAGATGACCAGTTTCTTCTTTGGTAGAATATCCCTTAATTTGAAAATGGTCTTCTCCCTTTTCCTGTTTTGTTTTTGTTTGTTTTTTAAAAAATAATTCCAGGTGTGACGTTCATTCTGCTACAATCGGTTAGATTGTTATAACAAAAGTTTTCCCATGTCTTTGTTCTATGAAAACTCTGGGATAGATCTAGTTACTAGACTTTAAATGTTTTTCTTTTATGTGCCGTCCATGTTTAGAAGTGTTTTTCTGCCTTCTTTGTACAGTTGCGTAGTTCTTTCATCCTTTGTTTATTTGTCACAGCAGTGCTGTGAATCCCACTCTTTAGTAGCGTTTGGCCAAACATGTGGTATACCTGTTGAACTGTTAGTACGCTCTTCTCCTTTGAGATTGCCTTCTCAGTTTACTAATGAAATACCACAGTAGCACACAACTTGACAGTACAGAGGGAGGTAACTTGGTAGTTGGATCTATTTTTAATGAGGCACTGGGGTAGACGCAGTCATTGACCTGTTTGACCGATGATACTGGTGACTGTGCAAATTTTAACCCGAATCATGTCTTTTTCAAATTTTACACCAGTTTTCCAGTGTGCACAATTTCACGTGATGCCAGTCCTGCTAGAAGGAATACCTTACTTACTGTGATGCTCTGAATTGCATTATGATGAAAAGTTGTCTGTAATTTATTCAAAACGTCAGCAGTTAAGAGTTTGAAATTGGGCTCCACTGGCAGAGTGATTTCCAGGCGAAACGTGGATATCTCTTCATAGTTGGGTTTTGTTTGAATTTAGGTTACTGAATGAAAACCTGCAAGGCAGGAGATAGTAATGAAACCTTGCAAATGGTTGTTTAAAGTGTATTTGTTAATTTGCATGTCAGTCATGCACACACACATCAGGACTTCTTCCTACTGTACTGTTATTGACTCTATGTGCCTTGAATCCAGTTTTTTTTTTTCACCTTTAATGTGCAGAAGTCTCCTTTTCCTGTCCACTCGTGGCAGTAAGCTGAAGGGATGTAAAATTGCCTCCTGATGTTCTTTTTCTGTATTCTTGTAGCATTACCTTCTATAAAACAGGATGATTACAGTGAGGAAGAGTCAGTGACAACATATTATGCAGTCCGTTAATACCCACAACAAATGGGATATCACTTTAGGCACCCTTTTGTCAACTGTGCCCTTTTCTTTCTTTTTTTTCCTATGTTGGACTTCATGGACTCTCTCTGTCACCTGTTGCATGGTCACCAGTTTTTATATTGGCTAATTTTGCTAATGTTTGTCTTATCCAATTTGTTGTAAATAAATAAAAAAAATAGGTGAATGAATGAGATGGAAAGTACTTTATTTATCCTATGTTTTGGAAATTCTTTAAAATTAATATTTTAATAATATTTGACAGATGTCTTTGTGAGATCATAACATGTGGTGGGAAAGTTTAACTGTTTGTGTCCTCTTGGCAGTAGAGCTGAATCAGTCTGTTAGAGAAAGTGCCCGTGCTCTGGTAGGTCAGATGCTAAGCCCATCACCATCTCTCTGGTTTTATTCACATTCAGGAGACATTTCCTCCCAGATCACTCGATGAAATCATCAAGTAGTGCTCTGTACTACTCCCCCCTGCTGCCATCACTACGAGAGCTAAACACTGCACAGTCTTTGTAGGTGGCATCACAGGGTTGTACTGAAATATGAGCGATGACAAAGTCCTCTGTGGAGCTGCTATACTGCACATCACCAAATCAGACACCGCACTGCCCAGTCTCACATATCACAACCTCTCTTGTCAGATTGTCACTAATCCATGCTAGATTACTGATGGTGGATATGCTTACTGACATTTCCTGGAGCTTCTCTTTCTGAGTCGTGTTAATTGCACTTGAGAGATTAAAGCAGCAGCTTTGTCTAAATTGCAGTAAACTCTGTATCATGTTGTCGATTTATCCACTACGTGATACATGATTAAGTTATATGCAACCTGCAGGGTAAAGTGATGTTTTCACATTTGTTCTGAGGTGTGCCAAGACTAGTCTCTCTCTTAGTCTCAATATAAATGAGTTATAAGGGATGTTGTTTTTCCACCTTGAAACTTGAATATCACATTGTAAGTTTGCTGAACAAAATGCATACAAGGTGATGTGCTTGTGAGACCTGTCCAAGTTAGAGTGACCATGTGTCCTACTTAATGTGGGTCTGCACAGAATTCCCAAATATTGAGACAAAAATAAACACACCTCATAAAACCCCAAACATGCCATGACCCACTGAGTAGTTTTGATAGTGACTCTAGGAAAAAGGAAGAAAACAGGACCCAGAAATGTAACTCTGATTTCCATTTGAAAAGTAATTTGAAAATAATATCTAACCCTGATTTACCACCGTTTCTTAAAACGGAATGAAAGTAGTGATGAGTCTGAGAACGCTTTGGGTTTTTTCTCTCACCTGGCTAACAAAATACATTACCCAGAATCCTCTGCTGAAAACACAACACTAGTAGCTGCACATGTGTTTCATCATGGCGGCCCCCGCTAAAAAGATGGTTGGGGTTTCGGACGACTCCAGCAGCAGTGACGACGAAGTACTTAAAAGATGTCAGGAGGCGGTTTGGGAGACGAAGGCTGTCAAAAGCAAAGGTTAGTGTTTGCCTCTTCTGTTTGAACCGAGGGGCCAAGCTAGCATACGTGCACTGCTAGTCGTTCCCAACAGGTACCTCGGAGAAGTTTCCACAATATTTATAGTCCATTCATAAAGAGCTGTCGGTCAGTAACATTTTCTAATGAAATTTATTTAATTGGTTACAAATAAACATTACGGTGAGACTCTAAGAGCATAGCGCAGCTTTAGCTAGCCCCTGAGCTTGCTAAATCAACACAGCTGCAGTGTAGCTCTGTTAAAGACGCTAACTCTCTGTGTTTTAAGGTGCGGATGCCAGTGTGAAAGAGTCAAAGCGGTAAGTGTTACTTTTTAAAATATCCATTTACTTCTTTTAGTGTTAAATATCCGTCCAAGTGTGAAAACTGCTTCAATTTTCCAACAGAATACATTGTTGTTCCTTTCACTATTGCACAGGAGCGAAAATGTATGGAAGGTTTAGAGTATTTCCAGATTGGTTGTTTGACCCACAAAGATGTAACATGCTGTTGTTTTTTCACGCATAAAAGCTCTGTATGTAAACTTTGTGTATTTCCAATGTGAGCAGTAAATTGTAATGATATTAGATTCAATTAATGTGGGGGAAAAAACCCCCAGATATACTTAAAATTAGTTTTTGTAAGCTATGACTATCCATCTGTTCTGCAAATTAATCTCGCATTGCGTAATAATAATTTGTTGGTTCAAGTTAATGTTTTTAACTCGAACCAACCCTGATCTCTTTATATTTTGCTTACAATTGTTTAAAGTATTGTTTGAGCAATAGTTCTTCTGGCTTTTCAGAAGGTCTTTCTGTGTTTCTTTGGACATTGGCTACTTTTTCACTCACTTTCAGTTCAGTCATTGTGCCTGATCATTTTCAAAGGAATGTTGTCTTTCCTTGTTTGTTTGTTTGTTGAGCCACTTAACACTGATTAACACAACATTGTGTCTTTAGGCACTTTAATAGCAGCCTGTCACAAAAACACATTACTTGTTATCATTTCTTTAGTTGAACTATGAAAAATCCCCAAGAAAACACAGTTTGGCAGACACAAAATAATATTTTTACGCCAACAAAGTGATTACTAAAAAGTTATTGGCCAACAACTTGGTATGGTTCATAGTGTGTCTTTAAAAAATACAAGTAGATGAAACAAATGGAGAACTAAAAATATCTACAACAGATGAACAGTATCTGAAAGTTATGCACTTAAAAGCAGGAAAACGTTTAGCAAAGACCTGACCTGAGTGATGCATCTGGCCCCTCTGTTGTTCATGAAGACTTATAACAAATGGTCTCAGTGGAAGTGTGGCTGTCAAGAACCCATGCTAAATTACACAAGAACTAGACTGAAAATCGTTGGCAACAGATCTGATGGAGGGAAGAATTTTATTGTTCAAATAATTGTTAATATGTACGGAGGAGGTCAGGAGAGAGGTACAGCAGTGAGTGTCTATACAGAGGATTTGGGGGTTTTGGGCAGTGGTGTTGGGGATCTTGTCAAAATTGGCAATGAAGTAAAACTTACATAATTAAGAAAACACACAATGGAACACTATCAGTCGTAGATTGAGGCCAGACCATAACATTAGTGAAAGAGTGTGAGAGAATCTTGCAGAAACATCCAAAGAGCTTTAAATGTCCTCCAAGAAGCCTGGAGAAATATTCCTGCAGATTACTGAAAGAAAGGGCAGAAAAAGCTGCGTTCAGAGTCAGAGGCTCGAGACTTTTGCAAAGGGCTGTAGATCCTTTATCTCAGTAGGCAAGTACAGAGGTATTTTTTTATGTCAATGTCAGAAATAAAATGAGCTTCATAAAGTTTTTTGTATAACAGTCTCGTTGTCGCTGACCATGAACATGATGGCAACGAGCTCCAGGTCACGCCAGGATTCCAGACGCATGTTGCCAGAAAGTTAGGACACTTTCTTGACAGGTAACAACTCTGACTACAAAAAAACAAAAGAAATAAAACCTTTTGTTTATAATAATTGATAATCATACAATTATCTTATTAACCATTATATTTGCCTGTCAGTTGTATTTCAGAGATAAAGCCTCAAACTTCATCCTGTTTAGAACCAGCTAAATGTAACAAAGATGATGATGATGAGGAGGATGAAGGTAAAGTTTCTGGCTCTTTAAGAAGATTTTGTTTCTATGGGAACTTGTGTTCATCTCTTTAAACCTGACAGTTTTCTTCTTCTAGGATTTCGTCTGTTTTCTACATCCGTCCCAGGAAAGAAAGCTGAAGATCCTCCCGCCCCTGTAAGGCGTCGGCCTGCTCCCAGCTCAAGGTTCTTCATCTCCATTAATGTTTTCTTCCTTGTGTTATTGATTCATTTTTATTTCCCTCCGTATGACATTCTTTCTCTCTCTGCCCGTTTCAGCGACAGCGATGATGAGATGGAAATGAGGCTGAAAGAGGCAGCGGTGTCTGTCAAAGATCTGTTGCCCTCGTTGGTGCTCTCACCCCCTTCGATGGAGTCTCCTTGCTCGGTAAAAATGACAAAGACGAAGAAGAAAGATACAGAGGGAGAAGAGAGCCGCGTTAAGAAGAAGAAGAAGAAGAAGAATCAGGAGGATGGGGAACAGGTGGACTCAGATTCTACTCCTGATGCTCAGAGTAATGGTGAGCTCACAAACTCAGAACAGGAACACATGCAAGTCAAAGTAAAACGGAAAAAGAAGAAGAAGAGGCAAGAAGGAAATGCAGAGGAAGAAGCATTGCACTGATTTTTCATTATTTTTTAAATGACTTTCTGCCACAGTGAATTCAAAGATTTAAAATATTTTTATTCAAAAGCTGGAATTGGTCTTTACTTTGTCATTAATGATGTAAAAACAAAAAAAAGTGAAAATATTTCAAGGTGAGTTAAAAAAATGCTGATGACAAGTTTCAGATCAGTTTACATTTTGTTTAAATTCTAAAACATTTACAAATATTTGAATAAAAAAAATACACGTCAGTGTTAATCTTCCGTTGATTTTCTGTGTCGAGTGAATTTTCTATGTCCTCCTTTCAGTGACAGTTTGTTGACGTTTGAGTCAAACAGTGTCGTCGCTCAGGTGCAACTCTGGGTTTTCAGTGTTACGAAGGCGACTCGCTTCTTACTTTGGTACATCTTCATGGTAACCTACGCTGCAGACCTTACCTGCTCGTATTTCTGTTACTGTAGTTTTATCTTCTTTTGTAAAATTAGCTGCACTGCTTGTCCACGTTTCTGATTGGTCAGATCTAGATTGGAAAGACCCTGGTATCAAGTTCATAACAGCTTTCGGGTGACTACTTATTCTGAATGCTGATCTTGGGGTGGATGAAGCCAGTATTTTGGGTATTTTGAACTTGCTTTGTAGTACTGGCCCCAAGCTTACATGGCATACGTCCCGATTCACTCCTGAATCCAGCTGACAGTCAGGAGACTCTTCTACTGTGCTGTGGAAACCATTTGTGCAGGGATGTAGGAGCTGATTTCTGTCGGAGACGGTGAGAGGAGGTGAGATTGATGCCTTTCTGTCGCCTGAGAGGAAGGATACAGCTCGAGGCTCTCGGATGAAACTGTTAATTTAAAAAAGCAAAGAAAAGATGCTTCAGATTGTTTGAAAACAGTGTTTGTGTTGGGACATTTGTGAGGATCAGGCTACAAAGGCATCTGAGAGTCTATTATCTTTGGGTTCTTTTCTGTGAAGGTGTAGAAGGTAAAAAGAGTTGCTGATATCAGTCAATTGATGTACACATGATAAGAAGTAAATAATGAAACATCTCTGATGGACTAGCTAACCACGCTGTTGGCTTATACACCGTAGACAGCCTTGCTCTATGCACCATGTAATGGTAAATGTCAGCTTTTGTCTTCGTGCAGTGTTTGAACCAGTCGTCTGCTTTCATGGTCTCCTCTCAGCTGCTCCTTTTAGGGGTTTCTACAGCAGATCATATGCCTCCATCTCACCTCTAGCACCCTCCTCTGTCACACCAACCCTCTGCACGTCCTCCTTCACTACATCCATGAACCTTCTTTGTGCTCTTTGTCTTTTCCTCCTCCCTGGCAGCTCCATCTTCGACATCTAATCAGCGTTTAATCTTGTCCATCCTGCTCACTCCCAATGAAAATCTTAACACCAACTCCACCATCTTCTCCAAAGCATTAGCATCACCCAGCTTCAAACTCGTGAGCCTGTCTGACACTCTTCACATAATCTTCCTTCAGGATCACCCCTAATCCATTTCTCTTCCTGTCTGCAGCACGGTAGAACATCTTGAATCCACCTCCAATACTCATGGCCTTGGTTTGCTTCCACCTGAGGCCTGTACTATGAAGCCAGATTTTGGCTTATCCAGATAACTCCAGGGTTAACTCTGGGTGTTCTGTACTGCATGTGGTTCACTTGTTGCCATGGTAACTGATGCTTATATCCTTACTCTCATTCCCCATTATTGTATCTGTAACACATAACTTCTGTCGGCGCTGTGCTTCTGGAAACTGAATTTCCCGAAGTAACCCACCCAAGGGGTTAATAAAGTTTCATCTAATCTAATCTTATGCTGTGAACCTTACCTGGACCACCTGACCAACCAAATCTCCCCAAAAATAGCATCACTATCCCTGGAATCAGGCAGATCTCCATGCATGAACAAGTTCATGGAGCATCAGTAATAATGAATAAATAATAGATTTTTAGATTTTATTCCTGTCAGCGCTAAACAATTTTATTTTTTCAAGACCTCATATCAAATTTCCACTAAGGTTGAATTCTATTTTTATATTTAGTCTTTACTCTCAAGCTGTAAACGGCACCCAGTCTCCAGCTGAAGGAATAAAACTCAAATTGTCAGGAGCCGGTTATGTTTTGAGTTTCAGTTTCACATTTTTACTGATGCTTTTATTCGCAGCATGTTTTATTCTGCTGGATGAATAAGTTTTAAATGTTCAGCGTGTTAAGCCGTGCCTTATTAAACCCACCGAATGAAGTGCAAACTGCATCACATTGTGACGGGAATGAGAAAGCTATCAAATGGTGATTAAAGATCTATAAACTTAAATACGACTGTTATTAAAAGGATCAGATGAATGCTGCAGAAAATTGATAATCTGCTGATTTATAGCACAAAGCAGTAAAATCAGTCTTAATTCCAGTGAATCATTTTTTGTGGAAGTCATGATTTGTAAAAAAAAATTGCTCAGACGCTGCCGACATCACCCTTTCATATGAAACCTTGATTAACTCGTGGGACCGTTTCTCCTGATTGTCAGTGAATCCAGGTGACGGAAAGAGCTCTGGTCTCCTGCAATATATCCAACTTTCCTGTCAACATCATCATCAATCTCTATCCCTTTATCAGTCCCTACATTTACATGCTGTTTACATCTTTGTACCTGGTCCAGGTGAGTGTGGTTGCATGTTTAGAGAGTCTTCCTGTAAAGCTGCGTCTTCCTGCTCCTCAGGGTCTGTGGTCAGAATCTGCCCGAAACAAAAATCAATGATTTAGGTTTTAAAATTAGATGCTCTGAACAGACTGAGCTCTGGTCAGTCCCGGTACCTGTCTGACAGTAGTGAGGCTGGTCAGGCTGCTGCTGTCTGTGATGACCATGGCCTGCGAGAGCAAACTGGACGGGTGGTACTGGGGCGAATCCGATTTGCTGTACACTGGAACGACAAATGGATGAATGAATCTTTACTCGGGGATGACATGTTGAGCTCTAGTCGTCGTGTTACTGCAGTCTTACTGTGACATGGCAGCTGTGCCATGGTTGCCATGAACGGACTGGCAGCCATGTGACTCTGAAGCTGCTGTGGTATTGGCGGCTGGGGAGAGGCGTGAAGCTGCTGCTGGAACGAGATGGGCTGCAAGGTTGTGAAACCGCCTCCCATGTTGTTTATGACAGGCACAGTCTGAGGTTGCGTGGAGGCTAAACCTGTGAAACAGCAATGACGTTGGTCTGAGTATTGGTTCCCTTTTTATTCCCATTTTGTAATAAGGGGAAAAATGTTACCAATAAGAAGGGAGGACTCCCCCAGACTCATGACGCTGGGCACTGAGGCCATGATGAGGCTCTGTGAGGATGCAGGTGAGGCAGACAGACTGTGCAGGGAGGTTAGAGTGCTTACTGGGGGTAGTGGCCCACCGCTGGACACCTGAAACCAGAGGATGGCATGTTTAGGGCAGCTGGTAATTTAGCATATTGAACCACGAGGGATCCGGACACGGGCTCTCACCAGCTTGGGGTTATGGGTCTCGAGGAGTGTGTGGCTTGGCTCCAGTTGGACTGGACTCACCATGAGACGCCCCACTCTCTCCCCTCCGCTGCCTCTGGCTGAGCTCACAGTGTCGCATGGGATGTGGTGGCTGTATTTCACACCTGGGGAAACAACAATCATCCAGTCAGTCCCAGAACCTTTCTAAGGTTCGTGGTTTACACACATCACAGCTGACTTTGGTCGACTGCTCCAAGTCTAAATAGAATAAAGGTAAATATGAGCATCCACCAGTAGAGTCATGTCTCTAAGCCGTTCTGATTTCCCTCTCAAATTTCCATGCATGATGGGTTATTACCGTGCTCGGGACTGGGTGGAAGGTTGGCGTTGGAGGATGAGGCAGTCTGACTGCCGAAAGGCGTGTCGAGGGCCAGTTTGTGTCGAAAAGCCTCCTCTTTCCGACGGTTAGCGAACCAGTTGTACACTCGGACTTCAGTGACCAGGTTAGAGCCGAGGCCAGCAAGCTGGGAGGGAGACACGCCCCTCTGGAGGCATTCTGCCCTGAAAGAGGAAATCAGACTCTCTTTATTACAAGAGTTAATTGTTATAAATCTATAGAAATATATGATCAGATGCCAAGAATTTAGATCAATCATGTTAAAGTTTCTCACATATAGTTTGGGTCTGGATAAGTGTCACAGCAACCCTATAAAAACAAGATAAATTAACACAAAATCTCACCTGTTACACTCCTCCACCAGCCCCTCTCTTTCCTCCTTGCTCGGGTTCTTCTGTCGTTCGTAGGCGTGGAAGAGGATCTGCAGGGATGCTGGACCCCACTTGAACCTGTTCCTCCGTCCTTTCTTGGTGTCCTCCCCTTGGTCCTTCACAGTTGCAAGGCCATGTTTGGCATTGGTAAATTCTACATTTAAAAAGTTAGCATGGTTTTTGTTGTTGTTTGTTTTTAAACACCTCACATTTTTATTTTATTTTTGCACTCTCGGAGCTCCAGCACGGCTTGTGTACTCACGCTGGCTGATCTCGCACTGCTTCTTGACATACCAGGTGTACAGAGCAGCTCTTTTTTGGTTCTTCATAGGCGTGCCTTTGTTGAGGTGCTGGGAGAGGTGAGACTGGTTGAGTCCCGTGGACTCCACCACCTCCCGCTGAGGTAGGTTATGCTGCTGCATGTAGCTTTTTACCATTTTTGCAACATGCCAGGGATCCTCACTGTCAGACAGACAGACACCTGAGCTTAAAAACTGCCCACCTTATAGTTTTGTGCATTTTTATTTAGTGGACTTTTCCTTAACAGATACCAGTATATGTAGAAGTGCTAACCAGGCAGTTTGTCACATCAGTAGGGACGTAAAATATGACCACACAGTGGGAAGTAAAGAGAGGTTTGTTGACAAAGAGAGATAAGAGAGAGCACGGGGGAACAAAGTCCAGCCCTTTCAGATCACTTGACTGGAAAACATGTAAAAGATTTATGAAGCCTATTTTAACACTTCCTAATTATCAAGTTGGAAACGTCATTAAAGACGCACCAAATTATTTTGAAAGTCTCAAACAGCTTCCAAACATTTTGGTAAAGGTTTCGGGCAAAAATTAGTTGTTTTTTTTTTAACAATCCTATTTAGAGCGAGC